GGCTAGGCACAGCTGTCTCACCAGATCAGCATTAGGCTGGGAGAAGATCCTCCCTGACAGGACCAAGGAGCCAGGAAGGGTGGACCAGCAGCTGTATTGCTGATAGAATGCCACCACCTGCAGCTTGAAGCCTCCTTACCTTATGCTCCTCCTGCACAACCTTCCCCTGCACCCACATGCCAGCTTGGATGTGTGAACATGGCTACTGAGATTGAAATGAGAAAGCAGAAAGCCTAAGGGGCTGGCTAAGTTTGGGATCTCATGGCCCAAGCAGAGAGAAGGCGTTAACCCAGGAAGATTTGGGAAAGGGGGATGTTTTCCCTGTGGAGCCGATTGAGACTGTGGCTATATCATAGGCTGCTGACAAATGAGGGGCTGAAATAGAGATTGCTCCTGGTTCCTGCTGGGAATCCTCAGAACAGAGTGGAAAATCACTACACCATCCTACATCCCTCCAGAGACAGGAGTGACATGGATACCTGGTCCCACTGAAGGGTTGCAGGGCTCTGCCTTGCAGTTTTGAGGTCTGTGTTCAATTAAAGGAGAGCAGCTGAGCTGGGATAGTTCCCAAATCTGGGGAGGACTTCCCTTCCCTGGAAAGAAGATGCAGGAAGTTTTTTATGTGGGGAAGGGCTTTCCCTGAGGCCTTAGCCAACACCAAATCCTTTTGCTGTGCCTGTGGGGTGGAGCAATGTCACACTCCGTTCTTGTGGCTGCCAAGGACGTGGACATGAGCCACACAGAGCTGTCTGACAGAAGTCAGGGAACAGGTGGATAAAGGAGAGGGGCACAACCCAGATCTTCTCATAGGAAAGCTGTCCTCTTCTTTAGAGTCAAAGCTGCACTGTCAAAGGGGTCATTCTGGACACGGGGGACTGGCAGCACAGTGGCTGATGGAAGTGAACACTCACTGGGTAATCCAAGAACTCTAATGATCTGCCTTTGATCTCCTATTCAACGGGGAGATTTATTGCAGCTTTCATTTCAAGTCAGAACTGATGAATTTCAGGGGACCTGTCGAGTGGCTACAATCTGGAGGCATTTATCTTTCAGGAGGAAGAAACCATCTCCTCTCTTTTTCTCTTGAAATAATGGGGGGGAGACATGGTACCCAGCCAGGGAGCCTCAAATGATGCCTGCTGCATGACAGCAAATTTTGCCTTGCTCAGGGCAGGCTCTCTGCTCCAGCTGTAGCCCAGCAGCTGCTTCAGGGGTTTTTCTACTCTGGCATAAAGTGTTGTGAAATCCGCTAATTACATGTTGCTCTCCCTCTTCCCTGCTTCTGCAGACAGCCCAGAGGGACTGAGATCCAGCATCACAGGCTCCAAGGGCCATTTCCCTGCAGCTGAGGATCCTCTGGATCTGGAAGATGTCTCTGCTTCTCCAGCAGGATATGACCTGCAAACCTGGTGTCCAAAACTGTCTTTTATATTTTAGATTGTGCAAAGGACCTTAGTTGCATTTAAACTATTTTCTGCAGTTTAATCAGAATCTACATATTTTGCTTCTGGGTGCTCATAAGTCCTGGGGGGAGCCCATTCCAGACTTTTCATGTAGGTGCAGTTTTCCTGTCCCATCTAACTCTATTTTCACTCAATACCCACCTGCTGATGCAGGTCTGCAGCTGCAGACTCCTTAGAGCAGCTCTGGGATGGCATGTGCCATCCTGCAGCAGGGGAAAAGCTGGGGCTCTTTGCTGAGTAATGCCAAATTTATCATTCCTAAGAGCCACAGAAGGGCTCTTGGGCACTATTTGCAGCCTCTTCTCAGGCTGCTCCTTGTCAGGCTGCTCCTGGGCAACTCTTGATGGTGTTGCTGCTGGTCTCTCTCCACGTCATGTGGCTGCAATGGCAGGAGTGTGCTTCTGTTACATCTTGGCACTGGTTTGGGATTTTCACTGAGAGATGCAGTCCAACTACATCTGCAGCTATTTCTCCCAGTCTCCAGAACTAGTACCATTGCTGTTTGCATTACATAATTTCTTGCTTTGAGGCTGCTTAGCAAGGTCTAAATTCTTTGACAGAAATGCTGATATAGTGCATGATAAAACTTGCCATGTGGGATAAATACTGCCTTTTCAGGAATTTTGATTTAAAAGTCTGATTGGACTGAATTAATACCAATCCTTTGCTAAGTTATAATGATGTTAGCTGTTACCATGAAAATTAGAAATTTGTATACCTGGAAAAGTATTTGCAAATCTATACCCTCAGAGCCACATTTATCACTATGTGGCTAATGTTTTAGTTTGTGGATAGGAAGATTCATATTTGTAAGATATTGTGGCTCCTTAGAAAATTCAGTAGATCCCTCCTTGGAAATATTTCAGGTGGATATTAATGGAACACAATATTAAGCCACAGCAATTAATGCCACTCATAAATCAGGCATTCCTTTGCTCACTTGAAGACAAACCCTGAGTGTTATCTGCAGAAGCTATTAAAGAATTAGGTATAAATAGCTCATGACTCTCCACTATAAAGGCAGGCAGAATTGTGCTGGCTTCACCTGTTTGCTTGCTTTTTACCTCACATCTTTGATAAAGTAATTTTATTGTGACTCTTTTGCCATGAAGACACATGTGACAGCATTTTGGTTAGGTATAGCTGTTTAGTGATTCAAACATAGTTATTCTTCCTTACCACTTTTAAATTGAAATTGGACTTGATATTAAAACAGTTTAAATTGATGGACCACAAGTACAGTAAACAGTACCTCACTCCTTTAGAATAATCTGAAACCACGACTTTGTAGCAGTTTAGTTCCACACGTCAGTCTTACACACCCACTAACCTAACTGAGTTACATGTGCAAAACTCATGGCAGTATTATATAGATCCTTGATGTTTTATCCCTAAATATTTTTCTCACCTTTAATAGTCCAAGCTCAAATCTATTGTACAGACTATCTTGAAAAGCTGTCTTACTTTCTCTGAACTGAACAGGGTTGAAGCACATTTTGGCAAGATATATACACTGTTGTCATTTTTCTGAGTAAAGCTGGACATGAATAAAGCCTGGCAAACTTACACCAGAAAAGTCCTGACTATGAAGAGATATTTTCAATAATATTTGCACTTACCATGAGCTATTCTGAAAACTAAATTATATGAAATCACAACACATTTGCCACACCTTTATAATCATTCCAGTAAATCCATGTTGGTGCTATTTCAGTTGCAAATTAGTTGTGTGCCTGCATATTGTTCATTGATGCTTAACTGTTTTATGACAAATTTTCAACAGCTTTCTTGTAACGATGGAGTCAAAATGAGTTAAATTATTTTGTATCTGAAACTTTCAAAGGAACACTCTAAACTCTGACTTTAGTTTTGTTAAATTTAAGTGATGTTAATTTTCAGTTCTGTTATGTTTCAGTGATGTTAAGGTTCATTTCTGTTAAGTGTTGTGAAATTCAAGTGATGTTAAGTTTTAGTTTGTTCAATTTAAGTGATGTTAGGTTTACGTTCTGTTAATTTGAAGTTCTGTTACATTTAGGTTCTGCCAAGTTTAGGTTCTGTTAAGTTGAAGTTCTGTTACATTTAGGTTCTGCCAAGTTCTGTTAAATTTAAGTTCTGTTAAGGTTGATTTCTGTTAAGTTTAAGTGAAGTGAAGTGTCGTTCAGTTTAAGTCTGTTATTTTAAGCTCTGTTAAGTTTAAATTCTATTAAAATTAATTTCTGTTCAGTTTCAGTAATGTTAACTTTAAGTTTTGTTAGGGTACTTTTTGTTATGTTTGGGTGATGTTAGGTTTGAGTGAGGTTAAGTTTAAGATCTGTTGAAATATGCTCATATAAATTACAAGATACAATTCTCTTGTTATAGAGATAGAGTTGACTGAAGCAATTATGATGAAGAATTTGGTAAGCAACTGTTTAAGAATACAAGATACTGAGTTGTGTAAAAATATGTGAGGATGCAGTTTATTAGATCCTTAATTTCAAAGAAAATTCTATGGGCATAAATGCACCACATTGATCAATTAATGTAATTATTCATAACAATCTTTGCTGGTTTATTTTTCATAGATGGCACAGAGGAATGAGTAACAATTCCAAATTATGGCTGTTATTCATTGTCAGCTGTTTAGTGCTTTATTTCTTGCTTTTATTTTGCTTTATTTTCATATATGCATAGGTGTGTGGAAAAACATAATCTCAACTTCTTAGGATGGTTACTGTTGATGTATTAATGATTCTGAATATGTTGTTGATGTCACAGTGTGAATTCACTGACTTTTCATAATGGGCATTATCCACACAATATTATTTGAAGTTGACACATGTGCATTGCTTTGGTTGTTTGGAGTTTGTTTGTGGTACCATTGACTACTTAGCTAAGGATGAATGACAAAGCCAGCTGCTTTACAAACTTTCCCATACTGTTGGTAGCTGTCTGAAGGACATGTATAATTTTAAGGACCTTTCCCACCTACTATTGCTAGAGGCTTGTTCATAGGATATGTTAGGGAGACCCTTCCAGTTAAGGCCTTTGCTCTGGCCAATTCCCAGCCCCAGCTGGTTGGAAGTGTGCCAGCAGACCCGGGTGTTTTCTGCACTAAAACCGTACTCAGGTCACTTTGACTTGCTAATTTGGACTTATAGAAGCTGGACCCCCTTTTGAGGTAAATCTAGAACCATTTTCCTGGGAATGCTTCTCTGAGTCCTCATTGTGAAACAGGGTTTGCCTGCTGTTGCAGACTCTAGGTGATGGTACAGTATTTAGGCAATTGATGATGCATCATTCTAAATCACGATCCTTCTTCTTGTGTGCTAATTATTACATGTATTGTTTTGCTTATTTTTGCTTGGTGTGAGTTTATTGCTTTACCACATGTATTGCTTTACTTTTATGTTGCCTTCATGTTCATAGTTCATAGGGAGACACGCATGTTGTTAAAAAAATAAAGAAGGGGGAATATGGTTCCTCAAGAACATTTAGATAATGCAATACCTACACAAGAATTTTTGAAAGCAGATAATCAATTCTGATCCCCGGCAGAGTGATACTGCTCTGAAGATTTGCCTATACAGAACCTGTGGAGGCTGGAAATCTGGCCAAGGAAAAGCCTGCTGCACTCCCCAGGAGGACCAGCCCCTAAGCCACAACACTCTTGGTTATGGTGAGTAAACACAATATTGCTACAAGTTTTTGGTTTTTTATATTGATTCCTTGTATCCCATTGGCCCTTCCCCGCTGCTCCACCCCTGTGCCTTCATCCCATTGGCCCTGGTGTTCTTTCCCACCCATCAAGAACCCTATATAAACCCCTGGTTTTGCTGCTTGAGTGGCTTGTTTGTCCCTGGATCCCTTTGAGGAAGAAGCTCAATAAAGGCTCACCTTGGAACCCCACACGAAGATCCCGTCTCTCCTTCTGCTTTGCCTGGATCACAGAGGAGCTGAAATCACCTGGTGTGAGCACAAGACTTGCCTGTGCCCCCGAGGTGTCTCTTTCATGATGCTTCTTCAGGAAGGTTGCAGCACTCTGAACAATGCCCACTACAACAAAACCAATTTCTAGAAGTTTTAGGTAAGGATTCACAATTGGGTGTGCAATGGCAAGGCCTAACTGATTTACTGACCTAAGGGAGAAGGTAGGCATGTGTTTTTTATTGCCAACAGGTCTAAAGTGGTTACCTGCTTGTCTGGTCAAACATTAACTGCCTCTGAGGAGACGAGGCCCAGTGAGAGGAGAAATGACCTAATCACAATCCAGCCCTCATGGCCAAGACAGGAACAGGGGTTGGACTGTCAAGACATGGCTGTGTCTGGAAGCCTAAGAAGGCAGCCTGCTAACAGAGGTCTTGTGTCCCACTGCACCCACCATCAGGTTATTGTGTTCCTGCTGACCTTCTTCGGTTATTCTCTGTTCCATACTTCCAGAAAGACATTCACTAATGTCAAAGACAGCACTTCTAGCTAATGGACTTCCTCCTGCCTAAACAGTACGGCCCCTGAGCTCCAGCCATATAAACTGTGGAACAGTAGCTGTTTATTTCCATTTCCTGAGGACATTGGACACCATATTTTTGTTTTCCTCTGCTGTGAGTCTCTTTGTCAGTGGCATGGTTATATTTTATGGGGTTTTTATTGATTGTGATCTGTATTCCTTGTATCTTGTCCTGTGTCCAGCAGATGACCAGTAATAGTCTTAATAAGATAATGGCCTTACAGGTGCAGACTGTTTTGGCATTAGGGCACATGAACCCTTCGCACAAAAAGCAAAGGGGGAGATGTGTATAAGTAAAACTTTATAAATTAAGGGCCTTGTTACCCTTGTAAAACGTGGCTCAGGCCTATTACTTTGGCTAAGTGGAAAAGGACTATGGAAAAGTGACTCAGCTGAATTAGCGGTAGAAAAACAAGTTGTATAACCATTACATGTTCACATTGTGGATTATGGTGATTAGTTGAATTACATTTGTTGTGCTTAAATGGCATGCAACTGGTAAAGGCCTAACTGCTTAAAAAGGCCTGGTTTTGCAATAAAGGGTTCTGTCTTGTACCTGCCTGGGGAGTCTGCATCACTCTGGTTTGTAACAATGGACTCATTAAACTCATGCACAGACAGGTCCTGGGTCACTGGGCATGGCCAGGGAACACCTTAAAAGTTAAGAAACAACTATTCAAAGTCCTTTTTGTGTCCCTTTTCCTGGCCACAGATCCATCAGAACCTTTCCTCTCCAGAAAAAGCTCTGGGAAAGGAAGAAGTTGAGAATCAAGGAGCAAACCCAGCAAGTGCTCAGGAATGCAGGTGCATTGCTGGATTCTGAGTGTTTTATAAGTTCTTCCCAAGCCCTGCTCCCCATAATCAGATTATGAAACCTTTGACTCGAATTAATGCAAACAAACAGATCATGCAGAGAGCGATAAAAATAAAGTATCATAATAAAAACCCTAAATCAAGAGCATCTTCTGTAAACAGAGCACTGTAAACACAGTAATTTGTCTCTCTGTGATGATATTTGGTGAGGTATGAAAGAGTCCCAAGAGATGGCAGGAAAACACAGCTGTTCTCTCCTTGCAGGAGATGAGGAAGGAGAGGAGGGATGGGAATGCAGCACAGCTCTGATGGCTCCAGGGTCAGGCTCTACTGCATTCCTGGAATGGGAAGAGGGATCCTCCAGAATGGGTCAGATTGGAGGGACTGCAGTGGGTCACTGGTGCCACCTCCCTGCTTCAGCAGGGCCATCCCAGAGCACAAGGGTGCAGGATTATGTCCACACAGCTCTGGAATATCCCCAGGGAGGAGACTCCACAGCCTCTCTGGTCTCTACTCAGGGCTGGGCACTGCACAGAGAAGTTCTGCTCCTGTGCAAGGGGAATTCCTGGGATCAGATTCTGCCTGTGGCTCTGGTGCAGAGCTTGGGCCCTGTTCTGCCCTTCCCTGCACACAGGGACAAAAGGGCTGAGGGCCCCTCTCAGCTGTGTCTTCTCTTGAGGCTGAGCAGCCCCAGCTCCCTCAGCCTTTCCTGGGCACCCAGATGCTCCAGGTCGTTCTTCAGCCTCTGCTGACCCCACCCCAGGAGCTCCCTGTCCCTGCTGTGCTGAGGAGCGAGAGCTGGACACAGTACTCCAGAGGTACCTCCCAGGGCTGGGCAGAGTGGCAGGATCACTGCCTGACCTGCTGGGAATGCTCTTCCTGATGGTCTCCAGGATCCCATTGGCTCTTTGTACCCAGGTCACTCTGCTGGGCAGGGATACCTTGTTGTCCCCGGGTCCTTCTCCTCAGAGTTGCTCCAGTAGGTCCTCCCCAGCCTGGGGCAGTTTTTTCTCCCCAGTTGCAGGACCTTCATTTCCCTGTTCTTTACTTCCAGACAGTTCTTCTCTGCCCATCAACCTGTTGGGTCCTTAGTTCCCAATGTTTTCCTTCCATTTTGCTCTGGCTCATTCCTCTCTCTCGACAACCCAATGCAGAGTGCTTAAACCAACACTGGGCCCTGATTCCTAGCTCCCTGGAGTCAGCACCTCTTCCTGGTGCCACAGAATTGTTTGCATTGTTTGCAGATTTGTATGAATGTCTGAGTGACTTCTGTGTGGAAAAAGGGATTTCAGTGATTACTGGATTCCCAGGCAGGGAATCTTCCGGAGATAAGAGGATGAAATGGTGCCAAACATCCTGGAAAGGCTTTTTCTGCACAGGGAATACAAAAGTTCAGCATTTGTAAGGAATATGAAAAGCATTTCCATGGGAAGAGATGAGGTGGAGGCAACTGGAAACTTCCCTTTGGAAAAGGATGGAAGAGGGTGGCACCTGGAAGACAATGTCAGTTCAGGGAGTCTCCTGCATTTCCCACTGCTCATCCCCAGTTAAAAATTGCCATTTAGAGCAGAGGGAACTATCCATTTCCAGCATTCCTGAGTGGACTTTCAAATCTACCATTCTGACAACTAAACCTTCAAAAACCTGGAATTGGGTCAATTGAGAACTTCTCCGTGAACAGAATTCCTGCTATAAAAATGTTCACTTTTTCTGGTCTGTTATTACTATTCCTACTCTTGAACTTTCCTGGAAAAGCAGTTTTCCACTGAGGAAGGTGTCTTAGGGAGTGTCTATTCTACCACCATCTGTTAGAGGTGGGGCAGTTACCTTCTGTTCATTGGGCAGTTTTCTTTATCTCTTCCACAACCAATCCTCCCTCCAGGAGATCTCTTCTGTCAATAGACCATTGAGTGTCCCTGCATGGCTGATCAAATTCCATTATCCCATTGGGAGAAGCTCTGCCCAGGGGAGGAGCCAAGCATTCCTACCTGGATATAATCTGAGATTTTGGCATACCAGCAACAGCCTTTTCCCACTGGATACCCAGAGGAGCAGCTTTCTTTTTCACTGGATTCCCAGAGGAAGACCAGGCCCATCTAGAGCACCCCTGGAGCTTCAGAGGAAAACTCCACCCTTCTCCAGGATCCCTGCTTCTCCCAGAACCACAGCTGGCACTGCAGGAGGGCTGAGCCACCATGGGATGGGACTGTGCCACCACCCTGACCCACAGGGGGTCAGGTCATATTTCTGACTCTGTCAGGGTTGTTTTGTATTACTACTTTTTTTTTTTAATTTTTATTTTCTTCCCTAATAAAGAACTGTTATTCCTGCTGCCATATCTTTGCCTGAGAGCCTCTTAATTTCAAAATTTTAATAATCTGGACAGAGGAGATTTACATTTTCCATTACAGGAGAGGCTCCTGCCTTCCTTAGCAGACACCTGTCTTTTCAAACCAAGACAGATTGGCTTTGCAAATCCTACTAAATAGTAACAAATAAAATTAATAATAAACTTATTACCAATCTCTAATAATATCAAAATAATAAACTTTTCAAACAATGAGAAGGACAAAGTTTTAAATTATTTTCATATTTTCTCCTGAAACTCATGTATTGATTTTAAAAAATTCAAGGTTTGGGAAATTTTTGGAAACATTTTGAACTCTTTCTACCAGTTCTTTGAGAAGGCTCCAAATTGTGAAGGAGAATGGGGAGCACTGAGTTTCCAGCTAGGTTCCCACAGGCAAAGAAGCTAAGGGGCTGCAGCTGCAGCCAGGGATGGCATTGTAGGGGAAAACAATGGAATTTATCCACATATCCAGCTCTCCTGGTGGTCTATGAAAATTCAAGGCAGGCTGGACAATCACAAAGATGTTCAAGGAGGTGTCCAAGGTCAGGTTAGATGGGGCTAGAAGCAACCTAGGATAGTGGAAGGCACCCCATGGCAGGGGGTGGAACAGGATGAGCTTTAAGGTCCCTTTCCAACCAAACCATCCCATAATTCCATAATTGAAACATCCCAATTTCTCCCATCTTTAAGGGCAGCTCATGAAAAAGGAGCAAATGATGCCCATGGAAACTTTGCAGCCGTGTGCTGTGAGAAGGGACCAGCACAGGCTCTGCTGCCTGTCCAGAGACTGACATGGAACGGATGATCCAGGAATGACTGATTTGGGAAAGGATTATTTGGGAGGGGATGATCTGGGAAGAAATATTTTGGGAAGGGAGGATTTGGGAAAGGAAGGTTTGTGAGAAGAATTTATGGTTTGGGATGACTTGGGAGATCATCTAGGAAGGGAATGTTTGAGCAATGAGGGTTTGGGAAGGAAAGGTTTAGGAAAGAAATTATTTGGGTGATCTGGGTCAGGATGATTTGGGAAAGGAAAGTTTGGGAAGGGATGATTTAGGTGGGGATGGTTTGGGAAAGAAAGTTTTGACAGAGGATGATTTGGATGGAGAGGATCTGGAAAAAATGTTTTGAGAAGGGAAGATTTGGAGAGGAAGGATTTGAAAAAGGGATGATTTGGGTGGAAAGATTGTGGAAAGGAATGATTTGGGAAGGGGGAGTTTTGGGTGGGGAGGATTTGGAAAAGGAAGGTTATGGAATGGAATGTTTGGAAAGGGATTATTTGGGTGGGGATTATATAGGTGGGGGAGGTTTGGGAAGGGAATTTTTGGTCAGGGAGGGTTTGGGAAAGGGATGACTTGGGTAGGAATGCTTTTGAAAGGGATGACTTGGGAAGGGATGTTCTTGCGGGGGGGAGGATTTGGGAATGGAAGGTTTGGGAATAGAATGTTTGGAAAGGAATGATTTGGGAAGAGATTGTGTGGGTGGGGAGGTTTAGGAAAGGGATGATATGGGTGGGGATGATTTGGGAGAGGGATGGTTTGGTAATGGAAGGTTTCCATAGGAAGAGTGTGAGAAGGAAAGGGCTGATTTGGTCAGGTGTGGTTTGGGTGGGGATTGTTTGGGAAAGGAAGATCTGGGTAGGGATGATCTGAATTGGGATGATTTGGGAAGATGAAATATGGAGTTTTCTGCTGGGCTGTTGGGGTCCACTCCAGCTAGCTATAGACCCTTGCCCACACAATATTTCATAGACAAAGGTAAGAGATCGAGAAGCGCTCTCCTCCTTGTGGGAAACGTTCTCCTTTATTCCAAGACACACACCAGGTGGACAAACCCATGGGAGAAAGGGGGTGTTCCCTGATGGCAGGGGACTTTTATACCCCTGGGGGAATGAGGACAGAGGGAGAGGTCCACATCCAATGGCACACCAGTGAGGAGTGTGAGGGGAGGGGTAACCCAGGCGAGAGACCACCAGGGGGTACCAGGACAGGTGAGGGAAAGACCATGTGATGGGGAAATGGGGTAACACAGCACATGATGTAACATAAGCTATACAGTGCAATACAAAACTGTTCTGTGCAAATTCCCAATCACCCAGTGCCGGAGAACAACTAAAACTAGTACACTACAACAGGAAGAGAAGGTTTGGGAATGAAATATTTCCATAGGGAGGGTGTGGGAAGGGATGATTTTGGTGGGGAGGAATGGGAAGGAAATGTTTGGGAAAGGGATGATTTGGGTGGGAATGATTTTGAAACGGAAGGTTTGGGCAGGAATGATTTTGGAAGTGAAGGTTAGCAAATGGAATGTTTGGAAAGGGATGATATGGGTGGGGAAGTTTTGGGAAGGGTTTGAGTGGGAAAATATTTCATAGACAAAGGTAAGAGATCGAGAAGCGCTCTCCTCCTTGTGGGAAACGTTCTCCTTTATTCCAAGACACACACCAGGTGGACAAACCCATGGGAGAAAGGGGGTGTTCCCTGATGGCAGGGGACTTTTATACCCCTGGGGGAATGAGGACAGAGGGAGAGGTCCACATCCAATGGCACACCAGTGAGGAGTGTGAGGGGAGGGGTAACCCAGGCGAGAGACCACCAGGGGGTACCAGGACAGGTGAGGGAAAGACCATGTGATGGGGAAATGGGGTAACACAGCACATGATGTAACATAAGCTATACAGTGCAATACAAAACTGTTCTGTGCAAATTCCCAATCACCCAGTGCCGGAGAACAACTAAAACTAGTACACTACAACAGGAAGAGAAGGTTTGGGAATGAAATATTTCCATAGGGAGGGTGTGGGAAGGGATGATTTTGGTGGGGAGGAATGGGAAGGAAATGTTTGGGAAAGGGATGATTTGGGTGGGAATGATTTTGAAACGGAAGGTTTGGGCAGGAATGATTTTGGAAGTGAAGGTTAGCAAATGGAATGTTTGGAAAGGGATGATATGGGTGGGGAAGTTTTGGGAAGGGTTTGAGTGGGAAGGATTTGGGAATGGAATGTTTCTGTTAGGGGGGCTGTGGGAAGGGATGATTTGGGTGCCCAGGTTTGGGTAAGGAAGGCTTGGGAAAGGGATTATTTGGGAAGGGAATATTTCAGAAAGGGGTGATTTGGTGGGAATGATTATGGAAGGAAAATTTTGGGTGGGGAGGATTTGGAAATGGGAGGTTAGAGAATGGAATGTTTGGAAAGGGATTATTTGGGTGGGGATTATATGGGTAGGGAAGGTTTGTGAAGGGAATGTTTGTGTAGGAAGGGAATGTTTGGTGGTTTGGAAAAGGGAAAATTTGGGAATGGATGGTTTTGGTAGAGAGGGTGTGGGAAGGCATTAGTTGGGTGTGGATGATCTGGGAAGGAATGGTTTGGGTAGGGAGGTTTTGGGAAAGGAAGGTTTGGGAAGGGCATTTATGGGTGGGGATACTTTGGGAAGGGCTGATTTGGGCAGGTGTGGTTTGAGGGGGTGTGGTTTGTGAAAGGAAGATCTGGTTGGGGAGGATTTGGGAAAGGAAGGTTTGGGAAGGGCATTTACGGGTGGGGATGCTTCGGGAAGGGCTGATTTGGGCAGGTGTGGTTTGAGGGGGTGTGGTTTGTGAAAGGAAGATCTGGTTGGGGAGGATTTGGGAAAGGAAGGTTTGTGAGAAGTTTGGGGTGGGGTGGGTTTGTGAATGGAAGTTTGGAGAATGGAATGTTTCAGTATGGAGGGTTTGGGAATGGGATAATTTGGGTAGGAATTATTTGGAAAGTAATGATTTGGGAAGGGAAGTTTTGGGTGGGGGTGATTTGGGAAAGGAACATCTGGGAATGGAATGCTTCAGTAGGGAGGGTATGGCCAGGGAGGATTTGGGAATGGAAGGTTTGGGAAGGGATGATCTGAGTAGGGATCATATGGGTGGGGAGGTTTGGGAAGGGCCCTGTGCAAGCCAGTGCTGTCCTTCCACACAGGCCTGAGCTGCACACGTGTGGCAGGACGTGAGCTGGTCCCAGGGCCTGATCCCCACATCCACAGGCCGCCTGCTGCTCCACGGCTGTGATGTGAGTGCGTGGGTGGCACAGGCAGGGTAAGAGCCACTCATTGCCACACTGTCCCTAATCCATCTGCAGACGAGTGGCTGCCTCGCTGCTTGGCAGGGAGTGCTGGGAGAGCTGTCACTGCCTGCCAGGGATTGCTGAGGAGCAGCCACTGTGTTGGTTGGCCCTGTCACCATGTGAGGGATGTATGGTGTGAGCAGCCTCTGGCATTAGCAGGCTGTTCAGGTGTTGGCTGCATCAAGAGCCACCGATGTCCTCATCCCCACAGATGCAGCGGGGACAGGGCTGGGGCTAATGGCCTCACTCAGAAATGCCTACTCCAGAAAGTCAGAACTCAAGGGTCTGAGATAGCCCTCAGCAGTGTGGGAGTGAGAAGTCCAAGTCCAAGATTCTGTTGCGTCCTGGGCTTCAGGAAATGAGGAGATGCTTGGTGACATATCTGGTGAACTCTGCATTGGCACATG